TTTTTTTTTTGAAGTGGACGACAATAAATTTTTTCGTGTAACGTTTATATTGAATGACACTTGATCTGCAATGTCCCACGACTATGCTAATATCAATATTGACAATTATTTGTTTGAATAAAAACGATTTTTGCGGCACAAAAAAATTTATCATTTAAAATGGAAAAATTCTTATGGGAAGAGTATCAATACCATCAATATGATGATGATGGCAATGGTGGTGGTGGTGATGTTGATAATTTTACATGTGAACTAATAAACACTTCCAATAGTTCATTGGCTTCAAGTTCCAATGATTTAAGCAGTGGTTCCAGAAGACCTTTAAAAAAACGAATCGTAACACATGGTTTTGTGTGAAAGTATTTTGAAAAAGTGAAAGGTTCAAATGGAAATATTTATTTATATATTTTTATATATTTTATGACGAATTTAATGAATTTATTAAATTTGTGGTAATGTGAGATTAAAAATAAAAATTAAATGATAAATGCATAGAAATGTATTAACTTTACTAAATATAATAATCTAAAAAATATATATTAATTAAATGAATGTTCGTTGGGCGAATGAATAAATGAATGAGTGTGATTTAATTAATTAATTATTTAAATTTTTTAAATCAAATTATCATACAATTTGATCCTAGTTAATTCGAAATCCTATGATTATTGGTTGTTTGTAGGCGTAGGATTATTCCAAGACAAATAAGCATGATCACCCAGTTTTCTAAAATAAAAAATTATAATAATTAACTCGATGATATAAAAAATTATATTAATATTACTATTGTCTACATAAAAATATTTTGTTACCTTGGTTTGTATAAATGTCTAGCAGTAAATGCACATCCAAGTAGCACACAAAGAATACCAACTCCAATATAAGCGAATCCCAAGAAAGGATTTTTACCACCAAGGAATGATACAGTGGAAATTACAAATGACTTGGTTCCACCATATCTAGTAACAGGAAATTCTTTTTTTTTTTAAAAAAAAAATATTATTAATATTGTTCATTTAACTATATATAAATATGCACAAATGAATGGTAAATGATTTTTTTTTTTTTTTGAAAAGGAAACCTACTGTATTCAATTAAAACTTCATAGGTTCCAGCTTTCAATGGCTCTATTTCATTTTTACCATAAAGCTTTCTGAAGTTAGGTAGACCGGCTGTTCGCATCCAGACTTGAAAAGGTTCATCATTTGAAAGGTCAGGTGGTGGATATTCATCTGTGTATGTACCATTAGGATATCTGTCAACCCAATTGGGCGGCGGACGTATTTTACTGTATTCATAAGTTGTTTTGCCATATTTTTGTCTGTCAGATGGCCATGCTATACCACTTTGATTAAAGTTATATGATTCTTCAACAACATCAAAATTTGATTCACTTAAAAGTGAGAGATTACTGATTGTATCTAAAATTAAAAAATATATATTAATATGAGATTTTTTAAAATTACAAATGGAATAGCAACAACAACAATCTACTCGATAGTTATAACCTACCATTGAATTGGGAATTAGCAATCAAGCCACAAGGATAAATTGGAAGACCATCAGGTGTAACGGCCATTGGTTTACAATCACTTTTTTGTAAAGTTGATGGACTAACAGCCACACCTTTCAATTGATTTGTTTAATTGTTCCAAGACAAATAAGTATGATCACCCAGTTTTCTAAAATGAAAAATCATAATAATTAGCTCAATGATATAAAAAAATCATATTACTATTACTATTGTCTATGTAATAATATTTTTGTTACCTTGGCTTGTATAAATGTTTAACAGTAAATACACATCCAAGCAATATACAAAGAATACCAACTCCAATATAAGCATATCCCAAGAAAGGATTTTTACCACCAAGGAATGATACAGTAGAAATTACAAATGATTTAGTTCCACCATATCTAGTAACAGGAAATTCTTTTTTTTTTTAAAAAAAAAATATTATTAATATTGTTCATTTAACTATATATAAATATGCACAAATGAATGGTAAATGATTTTTTTTTTTTTTTGAAAAGGAAACCTACTGTATTCAATTAAAACTTCATAGGTTCCAGCTTTCAATGGCTCTATTTCATTTTTACCATAAAGCTTTCTGAAGTTAGGTAGACCGGCTGTTCGCATCCAGACTTGAAAAGGTTCATCATTTGAAAGGTCAGGTGGTGGATATTCATCTGTGTATGTACCATTAGGATATCTGTCAACCCAATTGGGCGGCGGACGTATTTTACTGTATTCATAAGTTGTTTTGCCATATTTTTGTCTGTCAGATGGCCATGCTATACCACTTTGATTAAAGTTATATGATTCTTCAACAACATCAAAATTTGATTCACTTAAAAGTGAGAGATTACTGATTGTATCTAAAATTAAAAAATATATATTAATATGAGATTTTTTAAAATTACAAATGGAATAGCAACAACAACAATCTACTCGATAGTTATAACCTACCATTGAATTGGGAATTAGCAATCAAGCCACAAGGATAAATTGGAAGACCATCAGGTGTAACGGCCATTGGTTTACAATCACTTTTTTGTAAAGTTGATGGACTAACAGCCACACCTTTCAATTGATCAGAATCGAAACTTTTGACATAACGTCTATGATTTTGGTAAAAATTTGTTAAATAATAATAAAAAAAGACTGGAGGCTCCAGTTGGTTTGGTATACCAAATCTTATTCTACAACCCCAATAAGGTATCTTTTGGGGGTTAGATTGAAGTGGTACAACAACTTGACGACTCCATTGTGTTGATCCAACAGATCCTGAATTCGCTCCAGGAAATGAAGTTTGAATATATTTAGATGGCATTGGTTCAAAAATTGGATAAACTGGAGCTGTTGAATCACAAAATGTATATTCAAAGCTAATTTCAGATACCTAAATTTATAACATGTATGGTAATTATATACGAATTAGTAATTAAAAATTATAGAAAAATAAAATGTACTTGTTTCTTCTTTGATAAATATCTATTTACATTGTTACTAGCCCATAACAATAAACCACCAAGTGGCGCAAAGATGATTCCAACGATAAAAAGAGTTGGTAAAACTGTATTTGGTGCAAGAATAGGTTGCCACGCTTTTAATCGTTGTTGTTTAAAGGCGGTATCTAAAACAATGCAAATTCTTTAGAGGTTAAAATCAGAGTATAATTTATCTGAAATAAACCTTAAACAAATTCTTCAATCACTAACTTGCAGGTTTACGGCTCTTTGTTTCTGAGGCCATTTCGTTTTTTTAATTAATATTAATATTGAATATTGTAATATTGTGTGAAAAACAATAAATAGTGTAAACATTTTACTTGTTACACTAAATCGGACGAGAACAGCAGCATGACATTCTTTGTTATGATTATTAAGAACTGGTCTGCGTAACAATTCAATTTCAATTAAGGGTATGAGGAGCGAAAAAACACTATTATTTGTGTGACTTTTTTTTTACAGATATATTGCTTGCCACCTTCTCTACATATTGATCCACAGATCCACCACTTATTAAAAGTTATGAAACTTCAAAGATTTAGAAATTTCGAATAAAAATTATTTGTTTTATTCACAAGATTTTATAGTAAATTAAGCAGAATTGAAATAAAATAGGCAGAAGAACTTGGGCAGAAATAATGTTTTTAAACGTCGCAGAAATTCATTGTCTCTGCAATGAAGCAGCAAACTCATCCCTTTTCCCCATGAGTAATAATACCAACGGAAGTAATTTTGATTATTTTAGAGATCTTTCGAAAAGAGATGTGATTTTAAACAGGGCCCCTAAATACTAATTATACTACAAGAAATTTTCCCCCGAGCAACACAAGTATAACATCTACATTTTTACTATTTAACTTAGTAGGAAGAGTTTACTTATTTGCGCCAAACATACTAAAGTGTTGGTCATCATTAAACCCTTATAACTTTTCTTTTATTGATTAAAAATCACTGTTATATTATTGCTTAGGTTATGTAGATTGCAAAAACAGTATCATTTTTGCAATTTCAATATATGGTTTTTGATGCATTTTTAAAGACTTATCGATATTAATATTAATATATATATATATGGGGGGTTTTCTAGCAAAAACCGGGTATAAGTATAATAAATTTTTTTGAGTGATGATCTTTGCAAAATATGTTACACATATGTTTTTGATATATAAAGTGAATATTTCAAGCCTTATATCTTGTTATTGTACTAAGTAAATAATGTCTAAAATTTTTACCAGTTATAATCCTAGTGGTATAGACATATATTATGCAGAAAACTCAATTTTGGTCTAGAGGCCTTATACACGGTTTTTGCTAGAAAACCCCCCATATATATAGTTCATTTAGGAATTCACGACCCAAAATTTAAAAAAAACTTTGAACCTTCAAATTTGTGATATCTTTTTATCACGCATTTATAATCCTTTGTATTTATATCATCATAATCGATCGCAAGTAAATTATATTTACTTGGAACGGGCAAGAGTGACTGTTTTTAATGAACCTGGATTCTTGATATTAACCCAATAGGAAAATAATGATTTAACATCGTCTACTACTACCGATACTATTACATTGCTTTCTATTATTATGAGTGCACGGGTGCGGCAAGCAGAAAATGATCGAGAAATTGACAAAAAAAAGATTTACATTGTTTGAAATTAGTAATAGTATTTTCATAACTTTAAAGGACAATATCCCAAAAAAATTACTAAGCCAAGTGAGTATGGTTTCTAAGCTAAAAATGCCCTTCAGGGTAGATTGCGCCCATATGCATTTATGTATTTATACATTTAAAACAGGAAAATAGTGGAATAAATAAACTGAAAATAAATCTTTTCTCGACCATTGCTGTTCTTTAACCTTCAGAATTTAACTCAACGGTGAATCCAAAGAAGATTTAGATGAAGAAAATGTTGATTTCAATCTAGAGAACATTGAAAAACTCTGGTCACCACTTTCTTCGCTTCATTTTACTGCTAAATTGTCATTTATTGGAGGAATTAAATATATACGAGATTTTTTAAGTATTATATAAATTATTTGGCCTTTCTCATGATGCCTTTATCATTGAATTTATCTTTTGTAAGTATACTTGGGGCACTGGCATCAACAATTGTATTAAAAGATCCTCATCCATATACTGGTTTCGCATATAGTGAATGGAAGCAAATAATATAAAATCAATTATAGGTTATCAGATAATATATAAATATTTTTTATATTAAATAGATTATTTTTACATGCGTACATATATACATTTTTATATTTTTATATTATTAATTGTTATTAGCTTGATTGATTGATTTTTTATTTTAATGAAAAATATTCAGATCAGTTCAACCAGTTCTATTCATATCTGACACTAAAATCATTGGCACCATTATTAATGTATTCCAATGCATCAGGAATTCGGCTTTATTATTTTACAAAGAGAGTGAAGAAAAAACAAATTGTCAGTAATTGTGCAATCAATTGTAATAATAATATTTTATTTTACTGTTAATACTTACTTGAAGAAATGTTCTTTGCCAACTTTCTCTATGATTCCTGCACCTTCAAACATTTTCTTTTGATTAGAACGTAATTTCACAAAATAAACATTTACATCACGAAGATGATATGCCTCCACTATTTCAAAAAGAATTTGTACAGCACTAAATAAATATGTATATATTACGTATATATTAATTAGTAATGCATTTTTATAATTTTTTTTAATAATTTAATAATTTAATGTTAACCTGGCATCAATCCCTTCCATCGTTTCAATATCAAATATCACATTTCTAACAGGTGACATTCTTGCATCTTCTGATGGATGAACACTCATGTCTCCGAATTCTTCTAGACGTCTAAGACGATCTTTAAGTTGTCCAGTATTAGCAAAATATAAAGGTTCGGATATTTTAATCACTAAAACTCCTTCAACATGTTCTGCCTGATCTGGAAAATCTTTAATCGGTTTAAATTTATTAGAGTTGCCAATTCTTCCCTAAATATAAATATTATTAATTTTAATTTTTTAAAAAAATGTATATATAAATTGATATTATATAATATATAATTTCATACTAACCATTATAGTAATGCGAGGATAGGTGGAATGTTTAACAACAAGCACTAATGATAAACCTACTGATATCAAAGTTCCATATTCAGTTGATATAAATATTGTTGAAAAAAAGGTCAAAAGTAGCAAAGCATAATCATTCCAAGCTTTTATTTTATACATAAAGATAAGATCATGAGGTAGCTCATGTAATAAAGAGATAGCAGCCACACAAACTATTGATGCCAATACAGGTTTGGGCAAAGAGTAGAATAATGGTAACAGGAAGAATAAACAAAACAGAACAAACGTTGCAGTTATAAGTCCTGATAATTGAGTCTTAGCACCAGCTTTATCATTAATCCTACTTCTAGCCATTCCACCATATGCTGGTATACATTGAAAAAAACTACCAATCAAATTTGATGCACCCAATGCTACTAATTCACGATTAGGACTAACTGCATAATTATGTTTGGTGGCATAGGTTTTTGTGACAACTATAGATTCAACAAATCCTACAACTGAGATTAAAACTGCTGTCTCGAAGCAATCAATAATATGAGCCAGCTTTGGTGGACTTGGAATTGAGAATTTGGGAAATCCACCTCCTTTAATATCTCCAAGAATTTTTACTCCAAGACTTTCCCAATCAAAAATAGAACATAAAATTGTATAAATTATTACACATATAAATATTTCAGGTATGAATTGTACCCATGAAAATCGTTTTGACAAATATCCTTTGATTGAACCAAAAACCAATAAGAATAAAAGACTAGAAAATGATATAATGGCTGTTGGTATATGCGATTGTTCAATATTATTTATGATATAAATGAGTTTGTCTAAAGTTGAAGATGCATGTCCCAATCCTTTCCCTTCATGATGATTTAAGTCAGTTAATCTCAACATCACTAAGCATTGTTCAATAATAATTACTATTGCCACTGCTGAAATAAAACCTCTCAAAAGAGCACGTGATAACACCGAATCTATAAATCCCAATCTAACAATTCCAAGAATAAATGTCAGAATTCCAACAAAAAATGTTATCAATGATGCTATCATTATTGCAACACTTTCATCATCTACTTTGCCTAAATACTTTTGTTGTTGTGCTACTGACGACCCCACAAGCATTGCCACTAGAGCTTCTGGTCCGATAACCAATTGTCTAGGGATATTTAAAAATGAATAAATGGGTAAATGAATGAATAAATCAAAATAAACGCAAATATTAATTATAATTCACACCTTGAAGTACCAAGAAATGAGTAGATGACTCCTGGAATCACAATACTATATAGCCCATGTACTGGAGGCAATTTCGCCAACACAGAAAATGATAAACATGAAGGTAGTAAAATTGCTGTAACAGTCAAGCTTGCAAAAAAATCACCCCAAAAAGTATTCAATGAATAGCTTGGCATCCAACTAAATACTGGTACATAATATCTGAGTCTAGTTCTAAATGTTGCCCATGAAAAATTTGACTTGGGATCTATTATTTGGATGACGATGAGGAAGATGATTTTAAAAAAGAAAAAAAGGCATTGATTAATTGAAAATTTTAATTGATGAATAATAATATATGGATATTTAGATTAATTACATAAATAAATATAAAATTTCAGATGATTTACCATTTCTTGTGGAGGTAAGAGGTGCTAATTCATCAATTTCTGAATCATCATCATCACTTTGGTTAGAACCTATTGAGATGTAACCAATTAAATAATTAAAGCGTATAAAATGGTTTTAATTTATACAAGCAGCAAGACTTACTAAAATCATAAGGTGTTGGTGTTCTTAATTCGCGAGGTGTATGAGACATTTTTTTATATATAATTAATGTTATTTTTCTTTTGCCAAAAAATTTTCTAATACATTTAATGGAAAAAAATATTTATTTATTTTTTTTCACTTATTATTATTATTTTATTATTTTTTATTATACATATATATAAACAAACAAATACAGATCATTCTATTCTCAGGGTTACGAGGTAATGATCCAGATAGACAAGAATTTAAATAGGAAAAATAATTAGTAAAAGTTACACGCCAACTTCTCGTTTTTATAATATATTTTTTAAAAGAAAATTCGACTAACATTAATATAGTATTTATTATTATTGATTTATGTAATTTTTAGAGACTCTCTATTTGTAATAAGTAAAAAAACAGTGATTCAACCTGTTTAGTGTTACACGATATAATACATTGTTCGTGGGATTTTTTTATTTATTATTATTTATATTTAATGTGTAAAACGAAAAATGATGTATATTTTACCACAGCTAACCGGGAGAAAGGGGAATCTTTCTTCTGATAAAAACTCGGTAAGTTTGATTAGTGAATATTATTTTGGCTTAGTGGAATTACTTATATACATACATTTGACGACTAGATTAAAAAACCTTTTGGATAAAAACCAGTAACCAGCAGCCGTCATCGCCCTTTCTATGCGCGACTAAAATTAATGCTATTGAAACAATGATAACTATCAATGAAGAGTAGTTTTTACAAGTAGGTTATTAATAAGGAAAACAATATACTTCACCAAGATATTTTATTCAATGAAAATATCCCAAAAAGTTCATCTTATTTATTTGGAAGTTGATTGTATTGAAACTAATGTTGTTGTTGGCACTATCCATAGTTTTGGTAATTATTAATTGGCAAAAGATTTGATATTTGTACGAGGAAATCAATTTGACATTATTAATTCAATTGGTCACAATCAAACAACACAAACCCCCGTTACAAGAAAATATTAAAAAAAATCCCGCCCCTCTATTTACAATTATCCAATTCTACTATTCCTGCTACTTAATGCAATATTAGTGGTAAGTAATGAAGTAATGAGAAATATGGTTTCTTTTTTATTTTTAAATGTTCATATTTTCAATTAATCTCTAATTATACACTTTTGATAATAATAATATACAGAGTGTGAAAAAAAAATGACGGCAAGGAAAAATAATTTAATAATATTTTATTTGTTTAAAATCCTAATAGACTATTACTATTGCTATTGTCAATTTTTTTTGTAAAGCCGATTCACATCTTTTTAGACATCACTAAATTTTTTGACTTGTGCCGAAAAGTATCGGAAACCCCAAATGTATTAAATTAAACAAAAAAAAAACACATACTGTAATTAATAACAATAGAAAACATTGTATCAATTTGTAGCTAAAGTTCCGAAGATTATAAATCTCACGCATCCGGCTTTTCTGGAATCTTGTCAATTAAAATAAAATAAATTCACAAGTTTAATATAATAATTGTTCCAGTCTACATACTAATAATTAATATGTTATAAAATGCAACCGCCATTTTTTTCGCAATACACTGTATGATTTTTATTTTAAGATAATCAATCAGCAGGCACGTAAATCAATGTTTGGATTAAACATATGTGCTAATTTTGTCATGGTACAAGTTAATTAATCATATTAAGGAAAAATTGACATGTAACATATTTTTAGTGATTAATATTAATATTTAAATATTCACTACCTATTACTATTTCCGTACGTAGGATGGGACGCATATGGAGCATGAGCAAGTATTGGACTATATTAATAATTATGAATGAATGTTAATATTTTTATTAATAAGCAAAATTATTAAAAAATATTCTATATTCTGAGAATTTTCTCACCAAAGATGGAAAAATTTACCATTTAATGTCCATTGAGTTCTATTATCAGCTCTTGTGATCAAACAAATTATTATCACATTATCATCATCATGTTTTAATTCAATCTTTATAGATGCGTGATTTTGTCCATCTTTTATAAAATGAGAAATATTTCTTATATCCTTGAGAAACTTTGTTTTTAAATGAGGGAATAAATAAACAACAAGTAATATCGATCAATAGTTATTATTACCCTTCTAATATAACTTATTTTCATCAACAGATTAGCATAATGATATAAAACATTTAAATTCCTAACCAAAGTATTACATCCCAAGCCAAGAGCAATAGCAAACATGAAAGCACTTCTACCCTCATTAGGTCCAATAATTAGATTGAGATTTGGATCAGGTCTAAACTCTACCAACTCATAAATTGTAGTTTTTCAATTCGATGTAAACAATTGCTCCTTTCTGATACTGCTTGAAGTGAAAATATTACCAAAAATGTTAAATTAACAAACAGAAAAGAAATTTAAAATCCTTGCCACCATTCAGTTGTTGAAAAATCTCAAATAATGATTTTTCAATATCAATGATCTCTGTTGCTTTTTTTTCTGCAACTTTATTATAATGTGAAATGTTTGCATCTTTTTCATCAAGTTTTTCCAACATATTCTTCATTGTGAGTCGTAACAATCTCTAATTTTTTATTTCAATTACAAAAGAAAAATCAAGTATTTCAATAAATATTATTAATGGATTTTGAAAATTCCATCGAAACGTAATTTACTTACTAATTCATGTGCTAGTGATGGTTGGAATGAACTACTTTTGATATATATTAGAAAAGAAAAAAGGGATTGATTGATGTTGGCGTGAAAACCAAATTTGTGTCAATTGAAATCATCACTCGGGCCAAGACAACAGCCTATTTTATTAATTCGAAACGTATAAATAGGACGGCCGTCCCCACATTTTTTTTCGTAACCAACCATTTGTTATTATTATTAAGCATGAAAAATAAACTATATGGATATCTCAGATAGCTTAGATCGTATTTAAAATCTAACATAATTATAAATAATGTCTTCAACAAATTTACTCGATGGCAGTTTCCATTTTTATCAGTCGACATCTGTTTATATTTGTTCTCAAATTCAATCAAAGAATCTTCAGTCATCTCATTATTATCACATTCCTTAATTAAATTAGAAATAATTAACATATTAATAATTGAACACCAATAGTTAAACACACAACATTTCGATTCAAAAAGAAGTTGCTGTACCTCATCTTGTAATCGATCAATTTGTTGACTATAACTTGTATTAATATCTATTGCAAGAGTTTATAAAAAACATCATTCAGCACATGACGTGTTGCCTTCATATATGAGGATCAAATATATTAATTACCTGCTTGACTGGCTTGATCCTCGGGACATATAGTGGAATAACTTCATATGAACTGCGGAACCTTGCTTCATTAAGAACTTTTACGCCTTCTATGACATAATTTTTCCTGACATTTCTTGTTAAATCATAATCATGTTATGTTGGTGATGATTAAATCTTGAACCCTGAAATTTCTGGTAATACAAAATGTTCACTTTTTCTGGTTTTGTTGCAAGCATGCCCCATTTACAAATAAAAAAATTTTTTGCCAGAAATCTTTCCTATTATAAAAAAATTTGTCGAAAAAATGTGAGTTCTTGCCAGAAAAAAAATGGCAAATTAGGGTGAGTTTGTCGATCATAGAGTAAGTTATCCAGACAAAATCACAGAGATCGACATCAGAGATATCCATCCGAAAGGCGGAAGATTTATTGAAGGATTTACCTTTCGGAAAATGTCTGGATAGGTGTTATTTGGTTACATGATCAGCCCTGCCCTTAATATTAACCGCATGTTGCAATCTCCGCAATCTCCGCAATTTCAAATCAAAAGTTTTTTTTTTTGAATCAATAAAAAAAAAAAAGAAATAGAAAGTTGCTGCGAATTTGTGTAAAGTATTAATATTATGTAATAGGGAAATTTTTCTTATAATTAATTACATTCAATTTTCAATCAATGCAAAGCATATTTTCTTTTACAACGTTGTTAGTTTTGTAGCCCATCAATGCTCATTGCCTTCTAATCTTTAGAAATTTTAATTAAGAATAATCAAAATCAAGGGTCTGTAGTTTTCTAATGAGGGAGTTCGACTCATTTCAATATACTTTCTTTCATCAATGTTCAATGTTACGTGTGGTAGGGTCAATCCTTGGGTTTTATGAACAGTCAGAGCAAATGCATTCTGAAGAGGATATTATTTTTTCAATGCTCCCTTACCATAAATTTCTCAATAAAACAAAAATAGAACACATTATTTTATTATTATTACGTTATTTTTATAAATATCTATTTATATCGACAATTTCTTTTTATATTTTTAAGGTTTCATTTTAATATGTGTCTTTAAATATTCAAAAAACCATCGAAAGATAAAACAATCGAATTAACTCTAAATTGCTTAGTATTAGTGTTTCTTCGTTGTTATTTATTATAAGGATGATCATAATCAATTTTGTGAAACAATTTTTCCTTACGAAAATTTCCAAATAGAGATATAAACCTTTTGGTATTTCTTTCTTTCTTGTCATATAATAAATAAATTCCTTTGTTTTCTTTATTCTGGCGCCTTAATTCTTATAAACACGTGTTACACAAAGATTGAGACCTGACTTACATTATTTACATTACTGGCCTGATAATGCTCATTCATCAAGGAAAATATATCATGAAATGAATATTCTATTTCACGCTGTTAAACATAATTTCAAAATGCCTAAAAAACGAATACTATTGAACACAATAATAATAGCTGTCTGATTCAATGTTTATATACATCTTTTCGATTTCTTTTATTTTTAATTGACAAAGCCCCAGAAAATATAGAAGCATGTAATTTTATATACAAAATCTTCAGAGCTTAAGCTACAATCTAATATAATCTTTTTTGCATAATTATTATGTACATTTTTGTGTTAGAATAATTATTAAAAAATTTTACGTTAAAATTTTTAAGTCAAAAAATTTTGTGAAGTTTTTAAAAAAAGATGTGAATTAGCTTTACAAAAAATTGACAATATAAATTTTTTTATTTCAAATGAATCTAAATTACTCTTTGCATTGTGCAAACCCACCTTCATCTATCTTTCAAATATTTGTTGAGATATGCACACCACCATCATTGTTTTTGTTACACTAATATTCTACGGATTTACCTTTAATAAAAAGAATAAAGTTTAAATATTATATTTTATTGTCATTAACTGACCATTTTTGCGACGCCGATTTCACCGATTCTTTCGCGAATCGTCAATTAAATTTTATCATCTCTATTTTGATCTAATTTATCTCATTTTTTTTGCCATTTTCTGTAAACTTCAACAACACACACACCACATCTTTGAAGTAGAAATGTGATATCATTTTTGAATAGCCATAGCTTTACATAAAGAGTTTCTTTTTATATAAAAAAACATTCATTAGTAATCTTTAATATTGTGGGTTTATTTTGCTTTAATAATAAACTTAATAAACTTGTCTTGATTATGTAAATATAAATCGAATTTTATATTTTTACATAATAATAATAATTAATCCGTTTTCAGTTAATAACATATTACCATACAAAAAATTGTTTAAAAAAGCGGACATTTAATTTGAGTAGTATAATATGTGTAACTACTAAAAAAAAATTTTTAAAAAACAGATCTTCTTCCATACATGACACTTGATCTGTATAGGTAATTCAACAATATTATTGATCTAATTGATTCGTCTTTCTAATGTATGTTGAACGGAGCTTGTATCACGAATTTTTTATCCAATATATATATTACATTTCTTGATGATTTCTTTCTTCTGCATTGAAAAGTCTTGTTTGTAAAAAAAAATTTTCCTTTTTGAATGTATTTTCACAACAGTTCGGGTAGAGTTTGTTGATATAAGAATCTATTTAAAATTTTCTTCGCATGAGTTTTCTTTATCAATTATTTTGTCATTCACCAATTTAATGCCCTCAAGACTATTATTTCTTTCTATTGATTACTATATTTCCGATAAATATAAAAGTCGATTCCTTGGCGAATACGTTAATACTAACCGAATATTGCATAAATCATCAAATGTGCGACTTATAAATTTTTTTAAAAAATATAAATATAACATCTTTTTATCAATTTAGCCGATTACTCTCGAAAAAAATAAAACATTAACAAGTAAAGAAACAGAGGTTCGTTTTAAGTTTTTGTAAGTGTAGGTGTCTTTGTTTACGTTTCGTGAAAAAGTTTGTTAAAAAAACTAATAACTTTTTTAAATTTTTTTTTAATTAATTTTATCAATTTTTTTTTATGTGTGAACGTAAGGTGTGGGTGCTATCGATTAACCAAATATAAAAGTACAGGAATTTATCAACCAAAGTCGTTATCACATATTGTTATTTTGTGTTAAAGTAATTATTGTAAACGTACGGCTGTTAAAAGAAAATTAACAAAGTTTTTGAAATAAAAAGGAACTTTATCGTTTTCTAAAAGGGTTACATTATTCATTGTAAATAGTACTCATAGATCGCCGAAGCTTTCTAGAAGGCAGGAAGCAAGAATTGTTAAGTAAAATTCGTAATTTTACTTAATTGGCGAACATTGAATATAAAATTTTGCAACTAACCGACGAGTGTAGCTCGAAAGTTGGTTCTAATTCGGCCATAAACGTAAAGCAATCGATATTAACCAAAAAGCTACCTCGACTATTAAAGAAAAGGTATGTCCTCTTCATTTTTATAGTATGTAAATAAAGCGTCTATGCTATTTAACATTGATTTCCCACGGACTAATTTACCTTTTACATGACGCCTGTTTTTTTCTTGCTAAGCTGAAGATGTCATATAAGATTGTTATTCTTGGAGATACTGATATTGAAAAGGTAACAAAATTTGTCCTTTTTTAAAAAAAACAATTTGTTTATCTTTAAAACTTGGTTTAGTTGTATTTAAATCCTTTTGTTGGTATGTATTTTTCAAAATCGTATAAATTTTTCTTTTTACCATGAATTCTATGCATTATAACTAAATAATTATTATCTTTATTTGGATAAAGTGGTAAAATATTTTTAAATAATATTTTTTGTTTAAACACCTCTCTACCTTTACCATTACCTCTACCTCTATTTCGATATTTACTTTTTACTTTTTTAGACCTATCACCCAACAATTGAAGATTCATATAGAAAACAAGTAGAAATTGATAATCAACCCTGTGGACTAGATGTGCTAGAGACTGCAGGACAAGGTAATACTTTGTTGCTTGTTTATAATGAAATTAAGAACGATAAAACATTTATCTATAATTATAATTATCTTTTTTTAAATAAAAGGGGAACACATACCACTTTGGGATCAGTGGATCAGGTAGAAAGGAATTTAAAGTTTCTAATGATAATTGTAGAATTAAATACTTATACACATAATGCTAATAAATATATAGAGATGGAAAAGGATTTCTTCTGGTATATTCTATATCATCACATCCAACATTTGAACAAGTAGAAATGTTTAAAGATCAAATAATAGGAGTAAAAGGCTCTAATAAAATTCCACTTATACTTGTAGGAAATAAATGTGACAGGCATACAGAATACGAGGTGTTGAGCGAAGAAGGAATGAATATGACAAAGAGACTTGGCTGTGAATTAGTTGAAAGTTCAGTAAAGACATTTGTAAATGTAAACACAGTTGTTGAAATGATAGAGCAAAGTAGACAAAAAAAGCTAAAAATAACAAAAAACTTCAAATTACTATTAAAATCATTAAAATTGCAATTAAAATCATTAAAATTACTATTAAAAATGAATGTAGAACATATTTCAGAGGAGGAAAAATGGTTTAAAAATCAACTTAAAAGGGAATGTATTTTATTTCTTGATTATAATTCCTTTCGAAATATTAAAATTATTGATGGTGGATCATTTGGAACAATTTCTTGTGCATATTCAAAACATCATCAAGGGCTTGTTGCATTAAAATCCATTAATATTGACCAAAAATATACTTTTGAACAATTTCTTAATGAGGTAAATCTTTTATTTTCATTTAATAATTTATTATATATATATTAACAAAACATTTACAAATGATTTTTTTAAAGGCAAAACAACATCTTAAAGTAGAACATCACAGTAATATATTAAGATTTTATGGCATAACAAAAGAAAGTATGTTGACTTTTCATTATTAATTATTAACATTGGATTACAATATAATTATTATACTTTGTTAATTTAAATTTTTTACACATCATTAAAGAAAAACACAAAAAAAATCACATGTTTGTATTGGAGTATGCAAATAATGGCAATCTATGTGATTACTTAAAATACAATTTCAATATAATGGATTGGAATATTAAATTAAAATTTGCAAAAGCTCACTTGTTAATGTAGGATATTGAAAAATTCAATGCATGCATCGAATTTCCTATCTCTTAAACGGTCAAAGTATTCTTTAATGGTAACGCGAAATGATTTTTGATCACGATCTTGCATTCTTATTGGCCAATTTAACGATCTGCAAAGTAAAAATAGTCAATCGACCAACTTTT